TATTATAATATATATATATATATATATATATATATATATATAAAACAAACATATAAGTTGATAAATTACCATTTGTCCATCTTTCGCAAGTTTCTTTATATCGGCTATAATTTTTTTCTCCTGCTGCTCCATCCTCGCTCTTTCTCTATCTAAATCCCGCATTGCTTTATTTAATGCCCTCTGATTCTTCCTGAGCATTTCCTCAGGAGTGATACGTTTACCAAATAACCATTCCATTATGCTGAAATACTGTAATATAATATTTATTAAATAAATACTACTGAAATGCAAATAGAAACTCACAAGTTCCATAGATTTAGTAACACAAGATATAAATATAAACATATAAACACAAATCTTGAAAGATATATTTTGTTCTACATTAAAATTTCAATTAATGCTTGTCCCAATTCCAAATTGCCATGTGGATTAATTCTCAGAACTTACTTGGATCTTAGTTATATGTTCATATTCACTTTGGATCAATACAAGAATAATTTAAATTTTCTAAATTTTCAAGATCAATCAATAATATAAGCATATTTTGGTAAATATTAGTAAGTTTACCCCTCTCACTTCCAATTTTGATGAAATTAGACTTTTAAATCACAAATATCTCTTTTACATTAATTAAAAACTTCATCAATAAAATATATTCAAAATATATTGAAATTCCAAATATAGATCAAAAATTCCCTCGATATGTGAGTCCCAAGGGTTAATTACATTACATCAATATTACAATATCAATCAATTTTCATGTGCAATTTTTTTGTGTAGTGTTTTCGGAAAACTTCCAGATCCCGAACATTGAAATACATACATACTGTATATAAATCACGAACTTTGTAGACGGGATTGAAGATGTTCGGGATTATGTTCTGTACGATGAATTTTCCATCCGATCCGTTTTATATTCCTTTTAACGTGAAAACGTATTTTGTTACAATCAATATCCGTGACACTTATTTATCGCCTGTCATTTTGGCGATGACGCATAAATATCACAAAGCCATAAAAGTTATGAATTTACCAAATATTTCGTCGAGGCGTATCTCGTTGTGATTATCATAAAATCTTCACAGCCTGCGCACACTCGCTCCGATGGTAGTGCCATCATGGCACTGAGAATGACATCACGAGTGTGGCAGCTGGTTGGAGCTCTTCAGCGCTTTTTTGACAAATCGCGTATGTACGTATGTTCATATGGCAACCAATAGTAATCACCGACTTGAGGAATAACTAGATTGAATGTATTGAAGCGCCAAGTATTAAAAGACCGACAATCTTACGGAAATTCGATATGACTATTGAAATTCAAACAATCAGCCTGTGATATAATATTAATAATTATGATTTATTATTATTCCGATCTTAGTCGTCTTACGTAAGCATTAAATGAAATACACTCAATGATCAGCGAAAGATTATACAACTTATATTAAAACATTGGTGGATATATATGTAGATATATCAATAAAAAAAATGTAACCGGTATCAGCTTCTGTGTAGACTTCGGCTATTAGAATTAAAGAAAAAAATCGCATGATAAAAATTTGAATGCATTACATTTTTTTCTTCTAAAGCTCGAACTTTTATTTGAGCAACCTTTTCTACTTAGGTGACTCATAAAATAGGGGACCCCTATATATTGCACAAACAGTAAATTTATTAGATATCGTAGATATATAAAATTCGCATTTTGTGAAAAAGCACAGTATATGTAGACGATTTGTTCGGAAATAAAATCGAAAAAGATATTTGGAAAAAGAATCAAGGGCGCGTAAAAACATTTCGATTACAATTGTTGAACTTTAATTGCTCTTCTTTCTTTATTTTACAAGTATTTGTTTAATCCCACGTTTTCACTCGAAGCTCTGGTTCGAGAATGGACCAATTCGGCGAATGCTTTTCACTGGATAGCCAATTAAAGTCGTCGATACAGTTCCAATTGTTAATCTTTGGATCAAGGCCGGCTAGATTAAAGTGACTCGTCTGATCTTCGTAAGACCAGTTGTAAGGTGCTACACGTATCTTCGTACAATCTTCTATGATCGCTCTACTCGTGACGTGTAAATAAATGGTACAGTCCGTTGACGAATGTAATCGTAGTTGTTGACATGCGAAAGCGAATACACATTCACTGCAATCGTTTACATAAACAGAGGATGTCACTGGTCCAACTAATATGGTGCATTGCTTCAGGTTCACCATATGCAGGGTGCTGGGTGTACCGTATATCCGTACAGTACAGCAAACCAGATCGGACAGCAGGATGTCATTCTTATTCACATTTTCAGCATCCAACACCAATCGTTCATTCATCTTGCCCAAAAGCATGCAGGCACTATCTCCATACTTGCTCGACAATTTATTATTCTGCTTAGTCGAGCCGTTCACGATGCTCTCTGATATCTTAAGGTCTTTCAAACCATCGGTAATGTCGAGTCCTTTATCAGATGGTTTCTTTACAATCCTGCGATTTTTAAAGCCAAACTTTTTCTTAGGCAGGAGTTTTATCTCTAGCTCAGAAGCTTGATTTTCCAACGTTTGCAAATTCTCTTGCGCGCGTCTTATATCATAAACCTTCAGAAACATTTTTGATTGTGACAAATAGTTCTTGAGCAGTTGAATCTCCTTGTTGGACTTATCGAATATTCCTGGCAATGCAGAGGATGGAGTATTGGGTGCATCGTCCAGCATGTCCTTGATCTTTTTGCACGAAGAGTAAAATGTATCTTTAAAATAACCAGTTTGTTCCGATTCCACAGCGAGCGACTGCCGTTCTTCTCTTCGCCTTTCAATAATGTTTTTCCGTTCTCGATCCCTTTTCGTAATACGATCTGGTAAACTTTCCTCTATAAACTTAGCAGAATCCATTTTAGTACACAAATGCTATTTCTCAATATCGTCTTGTGCTTTGGAATTGATCTTTACAGAATTTTCTTGGCTTATAAATTTATCAGGTTGTTTTTTATATCTTTTGAAAATGCTCTGTGGCTCTGCTGAATGTGGTGGAAGATGCTAAAATAATTAAATTGCCAAAAATGCCAAAATAAAGATGATTAAAATATAAATAATTTTCCTACTAGTTTTAGATATCTTAAGTATAACAACATATGTAACTTTTGTAAAAAGCTAAAATTTTCATAATACAACATGTCTATGTTATTAAATAATATTTTTTAATCATATGCAATTGGTTAAAAAAAATTATATTAATTAAAACAGAACATATATATTATTAGCTTGACAATTAATGCCACTATAATTACCTTTATAAGTTCTGATTCATCAGCAGAAGCAATAATAAACAGAGTATATCCTAATCCTCCACCAAGAATGGCTGATGCTATAAACTTCAGGAACGCCATGAAGATTTACTATTCATCGCGTTTTTCCATCCACGTTTTATGATCAAACTTCCTTAAATGATCATAGCCAGATAACTTTTCTCCAATAGTGTAATAGCCTTCAAGTAGAAATGGCCAATTTCGGTACATATAATATCTGAAATCTAATGGTATAAAATATAAAGGAGTGGATGAGTACCAACTTAATTGTGTTAATCGAGCTGACATAAGCGATTTGATGAAAGAATAAATCGATGAATATATACAGATTTATATAGAAAAATCTCAGTAATCTCTCTCTCGTATTTATATCGAATATTAAATAACAAATAATTAGGACATCCGAAGTTGTACATTTTGCTGTTTCTCCGTTCTAATTTTTGCTCATTTCAGAAGGCGTAACATAAAAATGGTTGTGAAAAATGGAGGATTTGAGGAGGTTAAATTACTTTAATCAAGAATTAAATTAGTCGAAAATACAGAACAAACAATATCGTCATCGCGACAGCGGAGAGTGATCCGGGAAGGGTGAACCTTACAGGCCGGGCAGGATGAAGCAACTCACCTTGCGATGTGTTCATGCGACGCCAGAGCACGTACGACCCGAGCAGAAGTACGCCCTCGATTACAAGGACAGTCGCGGTAGCGTTTCTGACCGACCGTATGAAACTCGATTGCGGCCGTTTCTCGATCATGCTAAGGTGAAGCGGAAAGATTTCCTAAAATGGAAATCATCAATACTGCGAGATATGGAGCTCGTAACGAAACATCGCGCAACACCTCGAACAATTGTGATGTGAAAGGAAGAGAAGGCTACGGAGAGGGCGCTTTGAAAAAAGAACGGTGTTACTAGCAGAGAGAAGCCTGGTTTTACCTGTAGCCTTATTCGCGTAGATAATGTGCACGTTTTCGTTTTGGTTCTCTTCCGTGCTAGAAGCAAGAATGATAAAGATGGACAATTGTGTATCGTTCGTCTTTATCACTCTTGCGTCTAGCACGGAAGAGAACCATATTAAAAACGTGCACATTATCTACGCGAATAAGAGTACAGTTAAAACGTGTCCATGACCACTCTCAGGCTTCTCTCTGCTATTATTATTATTATTTTTATTAACTATCAAACTTGAAAAAAATTTTCTTAGATCAAAAGAGTCCTGGGAGAAAGTTTGAAAATAATTTAAAAAAATATCGATATTATCGACTATTGAGTAATTTTTTTATTATTTATGTAAATAGTATCTAAAGTAATGTAATAAATTCATGATTTTTTATTATAAAAAAATAAAAAAGTTTTCTGTATTACTTAATAAGATTTGCGGTATTTACAGAGATGTGATACGAATTTTAAAATAAAAAGAAAAGTTGAAGCTTCCTCGCACAGTAAGCCCTGTTGAGTTTAAAACGTGTGCTGATTTTCTTCTCAGAAGATCAGACCACGTTTTTGTACACATTACTTTACTTTGACCAACCTCACACATCCATCACGAAGGATCAGCCGAAGCTTCCTCTCCATCGAATTCGCGATGACGATGGTGGATAAGTAACCAGAGGTTAACGACACTTTCTGCCACGGGTCCAGGGACTTTCCTCAGAGCATAAAAAGTCACTAAGAGACTTCGATTGTGGCTCCGCGGTGTTTCTCGAGGGAGTCTCGAGTACTAATCTTTTCAGAAGATGTATATAAACAGAACATAATTCCATAGGCACTCTCGAGAAACATAAAAAATACAGATAAAAATATATTGTATTTATAAATAATAACTTGTAATACTGAATTTTGTTTATAAAATGTTTTCCTTTAATAGATTATATTTATTTTATAATAATAAAGTAAAATATAGAATATTATTTTAAAAATTAATAATTAAATAATAATAATTAAATAAGTGCATTTTTAAATGAAGTGATTTTTAAATGAAGTGCATTTTTGAATGAATGAGAAAAACTCTTTCATCTGCGTTATTTAAAGTAAATGATTCAAAAGATTGAAAATTCTTTTTTAAAATTGAACCGGAGAAATGAGTTCTTTTTGCGTATAGAGAAAGTATGAGAAAAAACCTGTATGACGTTTGCTTCTAATATCGTTTTTCAATATGGTTGCAATCAAGAAAAATAAAAATCTCAATAAAATCGTTTTCTGTTATTCTACGCTAGATTCATTTCAAAAAGTTGGTTTTGCATCGAGGGAGCTATGGACGAAAAATCAATACTCCAGCAAGATCAATAAAGACACGCAAAAATTCAATATCTCATTGAAGAAACTGCGAGTTTGCAAATAAAAAGATTCAAAGCTGTCGTTTTTTACGTTTTTGACTGATTATAATTCATTTCAAGTATTTTTTGTGACGTATACTAAAGCTATTTTAAGCAGCATTAGAACTCTTTATTTTATTTAGTATGAAAGTCGGAGCGTGTTCACGAGGGGGGAGGATGTGCGTGTTCACGGGGGGGAGGATGCCGCGCGAGGTGCGGATAGCGTCATCGGGTGCGATAGAATTTTTCTTAAAAATTTATTACAGATCAGACCTCGGTATCGGCGTCGTTACGATCACGCACGATGACGTGCCGTGCCGGTGCGCATGCCGCGTTCCGCGATTAGAGCGCAGAATCGCTCGCGGAGATCGTGGACGGTTGCTGGACGGACAGTCAGCGGGGGAAACAGGAGACGAATATATTGCTAAATATAATACGAGACACACGGTTCTACTGACCGTCGGCACGTGAAGCGGCATGACGACGGCGACGACGGTGACGATGATGGCGACGGCGAGGGCGACGGTAACGGTAACGGCGACGGTAACTATTTGAGACCGTCTGTTCATACCGTTGACCTTTCACTTTCGTCGACGATAATTGTGAAAGCTGTCGTGTCTCTGTAAGATCTGTGGTCGTGGAAAACAAAGTGGTGAATTTTTTCCAGACAAGTGTGTCCGCGAATCAGGGATCTCTCGGTACGAGTTGCTTAAATTACGATATTTTTTTTCGGACTTTATCGTGATTCGATCGATCCCTCAATTGTCGTCATCGTTGTCAAAAGTCATAGGTGAAAATTTTTTAATACCTTCTTTTATATACCTTCTTTATGTAAATATGAAATTTTATATGTATATATATATATATATATATATATATATATATATAATAATACATTACGAAGCTAAGGAAATGTTTTTATAGATTCAATTATGAAGAATTAAATTCAAGATTTTTAAAAATTTGACTCCTTATATAATATCTATCTAAAAATTTGTATCAATTTTATTTTTAGATATAATTTAATTATTTAATAAATATACTATTTAATAAATAGAATATCTACTTTAGGTGATTGATAAAATATTAATGAAATGAGATATGAATAGATAAATTAAAATTTAATATTTTTAATAATATCTTCTAATCATTATATTACAGCTTGAATATTATAGAATTCTTAGAATTCCTACTATGTATATTTTTATTTTTAAACATCAATTGTTTTTTTTTCTAAAGCTTAGCTTAACTTTGTCCTATATTTCACATTTTTCTTTTATAATGTTTTGTTGTGTTTTGTTTTATTACTATTGGTACAGTTATATTTCTGAATAATTTCTTATATCATAAAAAAGATCATGTAAAAAACTTGAAAATATCTATTCATCCATCTGTAATTGCGAAGTAATCTAATCCAAGGTAATGTAAATTTTACGATTCTTCACCGTTGACTCAAAGTCGTTTGCTTGTGCGTCTCGGTTTTCAATGCCAACCTCGTGGCTGTAAATGTGTCACTTATTATCGTTTCACTGAATGGAGCTGAATTGAATAGATTTTAAATGCTTAGCAATATTTCTTGAAGCACACTATAAAAAATCAGTGTATAGGACATTAAAGAGAATACTCGGAGAAATAAATATTGTTCCGTTTATTTGATATAAAATGGAGAAGAGTTAAAATATTAAAAATAAATTTAAAAAATGAAATTCTATATTTATATAATTAAAATAAAATATACAACAGATTTATGTATTTAGATAAAACATTGTTCTTCTATGTTGAATATATTTCACATTAGATTGATTGAAAATTTGTAAAAGTATATATATATATATATATATCATCGCATCTCTGCGGCTTTGTATAATGATTACATGATACAATTACAGCTACTTTTATTGATTATTGATCGGTGAATACCTCGAGCATTGTATTCAACTAGTAATATTTTATGATACGAATGACAGACAATAATGAGAAATATGTCGATACTCATCTTTCCTGTGAATACACCGACATAGGCACAATATGCACACCTACTTATTAGAAATTATTTTTAGAAAAAATTGATTCCGATTTCTTGAAATCTCTTGAAAATTTATGAATAAAAAACCTATGTAACAGATATGAGTATCCAAAAACCTGAAGATCTTCTGTCGGTTGTTATATCGAGTGAACTTCCGGATTCTCGACAGCTATTTATAAATCAAGATCAACAGGTGCGTTAATTCTTTTCTACAGTCTAATTTTATATTTTGTATTTCTTAGGAATCGCAGCTCTTTTGATTTAAAGTAGAGTGCGTTTTGTTTTTAAATTAGAAATAATTCTTTTACGGAAGTTTAATTGATCAATCTGGAGTTGTTACCGAGCTGTTTCACCGCAACTAAAACAAACTTTTCCATTATATGATATCTGTTCTGAGAATTATTTCGTTACAAGTGAACATCTAATCTTTTAATAGGATGAAGAAGCGTCTGATTGTCCTCTATTAACACCGAGTCCACCACCTATCCAAACCGACGAGACTCTGCAGTCGACGCCGATATTCAACGCTCTAGAAGGAGCTCCATTAGAGATGATACCCACGCCAACGCTTGAGAATATTAATACGGAGGATGGACTTAACTTCATGAATATCGTGAATAGTTCAAGCAAACCTTTAAATGATGGTGCGTTTTTCTTGGCTATTTCCATTCCATTGTTGCACCTCGGCACACAATGAAACACTCATTACAATACATTTGTGGCCTTCAATAATGTTATTTATATGGCAGTTAAAACCATCTCTATACATTTTTTTCATTTATCTTTCTTTTTGTTCTTGAATTATGTATCCAGCATTCAATTTGTGTGGTTATAGAATATAATTTTATATCAATATTATATATGTGAAAAAAAAGATG